CTTTAAACGGTCATAAAGATCGTTCATTCTAAAATTTATTTATATATATGTGTATACTGTATTATAGTTAGAAAAAAATAATACGATTAACCTTGCACAAAATTGAAGCTTAATTTATTACGGGGATTAACATTGTGTTTCAAACTTAAAGAGGCTTAAAATAAAATAAAAACCAGATTTTAATTTGCAGTATAAATTGGTCATTCAGTCGAATAGAAATAATCAACAAAATTAATAATCATTGAGATTATTTTATTATTTTGTTTTGTAATTTATAACGTTGTGCACTATTGTAATTTTTTCTACGGATAAAATAATATTATGTTCTGTTTATGTCCCGTTAGTTGTAATTGGTTGTTTATGAATTTGACAAACCATAATGTATTATTTTTTTGTTTTGTTTTTCATATTTTGTTTACTATGTTATATTTTATCTACTATGTCAATTGGAAGAGTTACAAGAAATAATTCAATACTGCTAATTATACTACAATTATTATGTTATCATATTGTCAATTTTGGTTTTCAACTTCCATGAAAATGTACACAGTATTATTTATTAAATGTATGAGTTTATTTGATCGCATTAAAAAATACATTAAAGTATTGTGTATCGTCGTAATATTATATTATGTTTAGTTAAAATCAATTCAGTAAAGTTTATGAAAGTATTGTAAATACTATTAATTATTATGCGGTACCTACAAATAAGTAAATAAAAAGGGACATGTTCTTCTTGCTTAATAAATAATCAATGTATGCACTTGTTATTTTATTAAAACAATTATCTTTTATAAAATTAGCATAGATAGATAAATACTTTCTAGCGCCTAGCTGCAATGTAATACCAGGAAGGCAACTACGAACAAAAATATATTATAATTATAATTTTCACACCATCATAGTAGTTCATTAATGTCTATTTTTGTGTTTAAATAAATTAGTACCATTTAGAAAATAGGTCAGTAATTTTTTTAGATTATTGTTAAGTGTAAAAATTATTTATAGTAACACACGTGTGAGACTTTGCTAATTGTTAATTTAAGCAAGTGAGTCTATGTCAGTTGTTAGTTGTAAATGCTAGAGACCTATTGAATGTATTATAATATTTTTAGTTAATTAGAGTTTTAATAGACGTTTTTTTTCATTATTTGGATTGAAAAGGTTTTATAATTTGTTTTCTTATAAAAAAAATTTATAAAAAAGCATTCATTACTGGTTAATGAATTTCGAAAATAATAATGGAATACTGCCACTAAAAATAATTAAAAGTTTTACTGAATGAGACGCTATGATTAAAACCTTTGTAGGAAGGTTTAATTTTTCCCCACAGCATAACTTATCCTTACACGAGTATTATAGAACTACGAAGATGCATGTATTGCTTTGTTACAAATATATTGTAATAATATTGGTATACCTTAAGCATGACATCCTTATTTAAGACAACGTACTAAACTTACTGTGTCAACTGTGCCTGATTATTTTAAATGAAAATACTTTTAACGTTTTTTTTTTATACTTATGATAATAAAGAGCCATAATTGTATTATATTTGATTGCAAGGTAAAAATAACATAAATTAACCGTTGAGAATTAAATTTCTGCATATAATGTGATATTGAAATACGTCGTACTATTAGTTTCTTCTATTGAGTTATTTTTATTTCATTCGTATACAATTTAGTATAGGTGTAGTATAAAAATTTAAATAAAAAACATATATATAATTAATTATATGAGTGAAATATATAAAAAATATAATTTACATGTGCTAAAAATAATAGGTATAATGAACAATAATTTTAACTGTTTTCACTTAGAATATTTTTTATTTTCAACATATTCGTTTATCTATTTTTGAAATTATACACGAAAAAGTCGTATTTTTGGTAATTTATAAACACATGTATCATATACGAGTATATAAATTACAATTTTGACGGAATTCAATTAATCTTCGCTATAATTGTATCAAAGAGATGGTCAGATTTTTATTTCACAGTTAAGCTTATTGTTCATTATATTATTTTTAAGCATATTTATTTTTATGCAATTAAACATTAAATAAGTATTGTTAATATTTTTCATATGCTTTTATTTTGATCTGTTTACTATATACTATATAGAATATTTTACATATTATAAGAAAAAAAAATAAGTAGATATAATTATAAATAATTTGAGTACAAACACAACCATTCATAAGAATAATAAATAAAATCAATTCAAATGTATTCAATACTTGAGTTGAAAAAATAGAAGGGGAACGCAAGCAAAAAATGGGCATATCTGAAGATTTAAATATTTATTGATTTATTTATATAATAAATTAGACTGTAGGCTAAGTAAAAGAACAGGTGCTGCACACAACCAAACATTTCCCTACCTACCTAGAAAAAAAAATATATCATTAATTATTAATATTTTAATAATTCAAATTTGTGAGATAGGTGTACAATATATCAATATATACATATCAACGTGTCGACGTCACGGCATGGACATGTTTCTACCTTACAATTAATTATTACTACCTTACACGCCACGCTGTATGCGATTTTCAATTTCACCCTACCTTTTACAAGGCAATGATGCATTAGGTATCTCAAATATATATATTTTTTGAAACTTAATTAAAGGCATTTAAATTTAAAAAAATTACCATCGCATTATTATGCTGAAAAAAATTGTATAACGATGGCCATATAGGTCTAAAAAAATGACTTAAAATTGAATCACGTTGGTTCAAACTTCTCGGCCACACTTCCGTGACATACATCTGAAACATTCATTAGTAATTTTATAGAACCCAACAAATCCAATTTAACTAATTTAATGTGATATTACCCAGGAACTCTGGAGTTTTTCACTTGTTCCACACACAGTTTATGCACGATTTTAAACCTATAGGGCCTTCACAGACATTCATTCTCGTGCGCGCGCGCGCGCGCGCGTGTGTGTGTGTGTGTGTGTGTGTGTACATTCCCTATTATTTCATATTTGACGAAGTTTTTGGTGTAATTGACGGTTACTTGGGTATCCACATGCTAAAAGTCCGTTGTATCCTGCTCACCCATCGGCGCGTTTAATTACGTACTTCATTTTTTACGAAATCGTGTTATGTAGTTTGGTTGTTTTCAGTTTCGACTGTGCAATATCAATCACGTTACGATCATTTGATAATTATTGGTAATAATTACGTAGGGTATATAGTGCAGATGGATCATTATATTTACGGTGCATCGCATACACCATACACAGCATTCGTCCAATTTACGTTATACCACACACTACATAATATCATTATGATATTTTTCTATGTAATTTGTATTTCTTATTTTTTTCATAAGTGGTACAGAACAATAAATATATTATTATCATCAACTGTTAATCAATTGATTTACTGTAGATCGCATACACTATATTATAGTATTCGTACAATTCAAGATAGACCGTATACTACCGTGCTACATAATATTATGATAGCTTAGCTTTTCTACTGTACATATTATGTTCTTAATTTATTTATTATTTAAATTGTTCTACTTCATTTTAAGGTATTATTTTTGTTTTCACTTAAATTATATTTAAGTAATTGTTTTAGTGTTCACAATGTTTGCATTATGCACAAATGGGCAATATTATATTCATTTTAATTTCGTGTTTTATGACTGATTTCCACGCTAACACAGTACTAAGAAAAACATATTTAGTCTTAGATTCCTAATTACATTTTTATATTCACTTTTTTTTTTTACACTCACGGTTGCATGGTTAAAAATTACTATAACAAATAATCATAAGCCAAGTGTATTTTTATTTTATTTTTGGTATTAATTACAAACATTAGTGCTATAATATGAAACTTTTGAAGCACTTAACTTTTCCCCTCCAAAAAGAAAAATATAACATTATATATATATCATTTTTAATACAAAAGCTTCTTCACTAACACTTAGGACCTAAATCTAATTTAATGTAAATATATAACTTGTAATACTCTACTTGTTAATTAAGTCAAATAATTAGCGTGCAAATTTTGTTTTAAGTGGCTATCAAATACTTCTTCCACACAACTTATATTAAAAGCATTATAAGTAGATTTGTTTGAATTTTTGAAGTATACATTAACTGGCTTTAACTGCCAAATGTACTGGAATATATTTGTTACACCGGAGAGAGAATAATTATAGAAATGTTACGAAAATGAAATTGTATTTATCAAAGTTTTTCTTCGTTATATTTAAATAAATACATTTTGATTACGATTAACAATGCCTCCCCTACTCTTAAAAGTAAATTTGTTTGATTAAAATATATTTTGATTTTGTTTTTTTTTTTACTTCCTTTTTCCACACATGAAGCCTTTTGTTACTTTAAGAACAACGCGTATGATGCCACTAGTCACAAAAACCTAGATTTATTTGATAAAACAATCATATACAAGTATCTAAATAAACCAAAATATTCGTCTTTTACACCATTTTTTTCCCATGGCCAAGATCAAATATTTTTATTTGTCTTATATAAAATATTATGTTTCTAATGAGATAGATTTTCAAGTATTTTTTCTCTTAAAATTTTACTTGGATGTTAGCATGGATACAGAGAATAATGTAACGGACAACCAGTGCACAACGAAAAAAACAATTTTTTTATTTCATTTCTATTATTATGTTAAGGATTTGTAGTCTAAGTAGAGGGATGATTTAATTAAATGGCAATATGTATACTCAATATACGAGTTTAAATAATGTTAAAGTATAATTGATAATTTTTCTCATTCACTTTCATTGAATTAAATCAATAAATTACAAAGTACGTGGATATAATTTAGGGTTAATGACAAAATCAATGGATGATTTATGCACAACAGCATTATAGGTTCGTACGATATCACTATTTGTGTTGTATTATAATAATCCTATACATTAAGGTAATAAGTTATCATCACTGATTATTATAATCGATATAATGTTATGTTTTATTTTTTTCAGATTAATAGTACGGGTTTCATAAAGTTTGGAGGGGAATACTTTATCGATACACTTACGATGTACATCAGGTAATTAAAATATAATTTCATTCAAAATATTATTGTTTACATATTTTGTAATATATTTAAAAACAAAAATTTAATCCAACAATTGTCGAGATGTTGGTTTGACTAAAAAAATTAAGTTGTGGATGGCACAGGGCCTTAAGTTGTGTCGAAAAAAGAAAGTTTAAAGTTAAGTGAGACATTTAATTTCATTTAAACAAATGGTAGTGGATGAAAATCATATAAAGAAAAAAAACTGTTTAGCTGAGAGGAGTTGATGATAAAACGTCATCCGGAAAAAGATGCATAGTTGAGGTGAGGTTACTAATGGAAAAAAAAACCTTTGTTACTTTTTAAAAGCAAAAATAATTCTTTTGACTTATATATTCCATAACGTTTTGTTGTTTACTTGTAGAAATAATTTTTATACTGTAGATGCCATACACCTTATACTGTAACCTTAGTATAAAGCGTATGGTAGGTACTAATTTTTTTGATTACTGCCAGCTCATCTAATCATAATGCTATTATTAGATATTTAATAAGAAAATGTATTTCATAAAAACTAGTCGAATTGACAATTTCTCACACGGTTTCATAATTTACATACCTCTAGATACAAACAGTTTCCTCTTTAGCAGTGACACGAAAATTAGTAGGTACCTACCGAAAATGATAATGAACTGTTTTCAGTTATTATTTTATTTATTTAATTTAATTTCTTGGGCTTATCCATTTCTTAACTGTAGTATTGTTTTCACTTGAAAATCATTTGTATATATAGGTGCTAGTTTTTTATTTACCAGCCAAATAATTAAGCTAGCTATTTAATTCGTAAATTATTTTAATATGAACTATACATTATTCAGAATAAGATAGCCCAAGTTCGTGGACGAATACTGATTACTCAGCCACCCGCAGTTTTCATTGTATTTTTTGGTAATGTCATGAACAAATACTAGATAGCATAATGTATTATATTATAGTATTTACGAACATCACTTAAGAGAACTGCCAGTGACTCAGTATTCATCCTCTAATTTTGTCATTCTTATCCAGAATAGAGAATAGCCGAATTGAAAATTTCTCATACGGCTTCATCGTTTCTAATATACCTCTAGATACAAACAGTTTCCTCTTTAGCAGTGACACAAATAATAAGTAACGAAATGATAATAAACCAATTGCGTAGTTGTAATTTAAATTATTGTAAAATCAATTAAATACAGATGGGTATAAAGCCTTTATAATTTATCTCATATCTGTGGGAGAGAAAAAGTACCTATGTGATTACAATGTTATGAAATTGTACTGTATTTATTCCTGGGCAAAAAAAAAAATTCTGTTATTTTGATGTAAACGAAAATAATAGTTTCAGTATTTCGAAAATTTTTCCCTAAAATTTATCTTTTTCGGGTAGACTATATTATAATTAAGTGTAGCACTGGATTTTAAAATCTTCAAACTATTTGAATCAAAAATACACAAAAGCTATGATTTTATATTAAGGGTATGAGTAAATAACAAAATAAAATAAACTCAAATATTTTGAAATTAGAAATATTTAATTTTTGTGGATAAAAAATAATATTCTATAATTGCTTTTATTTTCATCTAAATGTCATTTATTTGAAATGTATGAAAATAATATTATTACCTAATATTGTTACTGGAACAGCTATAGTTATTTATAGTTTTAATCATTGATCTCAATACTTCAATGAACTCCGTTTACATAATGCAAATGTATATTATTTGTAGAAAACATAAAAACAGTATCAATAGAAATATCGATTAAAATGGAATAAATTATAATTCACAATTTAGATGGGATTTAAAATTTAATAGGAATTGACTTCTATATAATGATGAAAATTCATCAAAATTCAAATCAATAGAGTATGATAAATAAACTAAATAATGTTTTACTAGTAAAAACCATTTTATGACCTAACCATAGATTTTGTTTACAATGGTGTAACACCCCGATGTGAATGTTTTCAATACCAAAATGATGACAAAAATGTTTAATGAATTGTTCGGTTGGTTGATGGTTTATTAAATTGTACGCTTTTTAATATACAAATGCAAGCCTACCTACTGTTAATATTCATCTTGCATTATTCACGAAGTTACGACTGTATAATATAATATGCATATTCACACTGCATAGTTATATATATTTATATATATTTTATCATCTATACCTTTACTTGTGTGTTAACTCTCGAGTAAAGCGTGAAGCGCTAATAATTAAAAATAAATCTTTTGTTTTTTTTCTCTTGTGTTGATTAACTCGATAAGGAAATGCAAAGTAATAAAACTTCAGCAATTAAAATAATTCAAGGCTTGATTTTAATTTGTGTATGTACAAAAGAGATTCAAAAGCAGTCTCGTATAAAATACTTTTAAAAAAGTATTTAAATACTTATACTTGAATTTGCACAAAAAAGTTTTCAAAATACATTTATAATACTTTTATAAAAATTAATTCTACGAATAACTTAACGACATATGAATACAAGTGTAAGTATCTTTTTTTTAAACTTCTTACACCTAAATTTGGAATATATTTTGTGCATTAAAACTATACTAAGTAACTGAAACATAATAATATACTAAAATATGATTATTATTAAAATTGTAAAAAAATACAAAAATCGTGTTTTGTTATTAAACCATGGATGATAATTTTATAATATTATGTAGCATTATATGTAACACTTTAGTTAACGAATATGTGTAAGTTACATAACAATATATCCAATACGAATGCTCAAAAGGCACTAGATTAAAGGTACCTATTGTAAAATTAAAAAAAAAATTGTTTTGATAATTCATTAAAATTTACTATGGGTATTAGTATTGACAAAAAATAAACAATTTCACTTTTATTCATGAATAGCTTACTACCGTCTACCTACCTACGTTTATCAATTATTTTAAATAAAATATTCTTGTATAAAATATAATGATTGGGAGCATAATATCGTTATTTAATTAAAAAAGGTTTTTAATTAATGTAAGTGCAGTAACATTTTATACGTTTTTATTAAAATGTTTATGACGTTCAGGTTTTGATCGAAATAATAATTTCATATGCCCTTTATTTAAGAATTTCATATACAATAAATTATATATTTTTTTTTTTTATCCACTCTAATATTTGTGTTTGATTATACCACTGTGTTTGAATTGTACATTGTACAACTATATCGTTCCGTAGTATCCATCATTGCATACGTCACGTACAGGATATTTTGTATTAATAATATACATCCAACATTTTAATGCTTACCTTTAAAATACTTAGGCCCTAATATTTATTATCGTCTTACAATCATTAGAACACGCATTATTATATTATACATAATATTATAAAGATTTAAGGCTCAAGTCAAATCTGTCTTAAATACTGTACGAACCGTAATAATTGGATTATAAACGTTTTGTTGGCTTATTCATTTATTTTATAATACCTACAGGTATAAGACAAAATTAAATGTTGGGATTTACAATTTATTTGCAATAATTGTGAATTATTTACTTTTAAAACTGATTTCATGCATAACACTTAATGGGCGCACTACTCCATATACCTATACAGCTTTTTTCGCTAAATATCGTTATTTTCGTTAAATACATCATGCTACCATGAACATTGAACATAATACTCAATATATACTCGATAGTTAAATAATTTCACCTTTAATATTATATTATGATAAACAAGAGAGTTACTATTTACATTTTATACTTTAATTGATTGTATTGGTACCTTAAAATGGTTCTGATAATAATATAAGTACAAATAATGTTCCCTAGGTGCCTAGTACCTAACTATTCAAAATGATGATTTTATGCATACATTGTTAAAATAAAACTTTTGTCTATGGCATGAATAAAGAAAGAAACATTTTTTATTCTAATTTGAGCAACTAAAATAACCAAAATATTATGTAAATAATTAAAATTAAAATTAATTAAAGAACTCCGTCAAGGAATGATTGAAATAAATTGAAACGAATGGCTACGTCATTAAGTACTTAAAATTTAAATAAAATCGCATAGGTATTATGAATATATAGTTGATTCCTGCTTACGTTGTAAAATATGTTTTCAAAAGCTGTAAATCGGATCAGAATTGAGTTTAATAAAATGGAAATACTCGTATAATATAAGAATGAGTGATTTCAAGTCTCTCAACGATTACTCTGTCTGTTATCGATCCCATTACATTAAGTCCTCGGAGTGCACTTACGTAAACCGTTTTATTGCTATAAATGTTACGCCGAAAATAATAAGATGGAAAAGAATATAATATATTATTACTTTCAGTTTGACGCAGTTAATGTATCAAATCGTTTTCAAGTTCAATAGTTTATATTTTAATTCGATGCTTATTGTTTCCATTTTGACGTCGTTTATAGGTATTTTTCAAGTCATATAGTGGACATATGTGGTTTATTAATACTTAAATGTGTAATCTCGAAATAGACGTTGGAAATGTGTTCATATACTGCTCACAGTCACATTGGGACACACCTGAAATCTAGAACCTTTTTTTTTGTTTTGTTTTGTTTCTTTCGTTTCCCTTTTTTCGCTTCGTGCTATATTGCTCACTTTCTTTCAACAACAGTCCTCGCGACTACTGCACGTCTACACTTCTCTACCCGTCGCAGCTCACGGTTTTTTTTCTCTATATGTATTTATCCCTGGATCCTTTTACCCAACTGTCTATCTATATTCTTCGATCTTACCCCCTCGCCACTCTCTCAATCACTGCATATCACAGTTATCGCCTCGAACACCAATTTCACCATTCGCTCCCGCAGTTGTGCTACTACTACCATACAGCCGTTCAATTGCAGGTATATACGGGTACTCGTACTCAGCTGCAGCAGTCAACAATCGTTTACACGTTACGTTTTGTTTCTTATGTGAGGCTATTTTTTCTTCAATAAAAGTACTATACTACGTGTACGTTTTCGGTAACTACTCGACGTAGCCAACACGAGAAAACC